CGAACCACCGCCGTATGCTACACGTTCTGTGATGCAACATTGGGAAAATCGCTCTGAGCGCCTTCTGTAGACCCTTCCACGTCCATCATTATCATGAAGACACATTCTGGACTCGTCTGAGAACAGGACTGCTTTCCACTGGTCGGCTGTCCAGTTGACGTGTTCTTGTGCAAATCGAAAACGAGCCCGGCGGTGAGCTGGCGTCAATTTAGGGCCATTTGCTGGCCTATGCGCAGTCAAACCACCTTCGGCAAGTCTCCTTCTGACTGTCCACCTGCTGACTACCACTTCATGCACCTCTTGAAGCTGCTGTGCAAGTTCAACGGCAGTCAAACGACGATTTCGCAACGCTGTCGTTACAAGAAATCTGTTGTCGCGCTGTGTTGTAGCTCTTGCTCGACCAGATCATCGTCGCCTTTCAAAGCCACCAGTCTCCCGATAGCGCTGGTACACACGACGAACTGAATATCGGCTGATATTCAGTTGTCGAGCTACAGCACTCTGGTTCTGGCCCGCTTCAATTAGAGCGACGACTTGAGCGGCTTTTTCCGGAGTAGTAGTATCCATCTTTTTCAGACAAATGCAATTGGAGTCACTAGAGGTCTTATCAGGTTAAGCGTTGGCTTGCAATTGATGACGTTTTACACAAAACATGCCTTTTTATACCTGCAGTTGGTCTTGCAAACTGCAGTGAGTTGAGGGAGAAATTTTTGGAGTTTGCTGTTGTCGTTTTGTTTCAGCAGGCAGGTAAACTTATCATGTCTTATGTGGTATCATTGAATAGGTATTGAACTATCCTTTAACCTTATGTTAAAAAATATATGTATTTTTTTAAATAAAAAGAATTAAATAATATTTTTCAAAAAATTTACAGATGTGCGATTTCATTGCACCCGAGTGTATTTATTTATTGTCAAACTTTTGTTCTTAACGTCTGGGGTCAAATTGAGAATACGTTAAATATTGTTTGTCTTTATTAATATTTTTCTATAGTGTAGTCTGGGCGAAATTTTTGATTATAGAAGTATAATAGTCTTCGAAAACAGAATCATAATAGTGTACAAACTTACAGTTTCAATTTATAGTCGAATTTCCACTACCGCGGGACTGCTCGTTTAAATAAAGCTATTAAGTACCTAAGTCTTGTGCAGCAAAAAGGGAACTGCATGTTTGTATCTTCGACGACTTCCTCGCATTCTATCGCCGACTCTGGGGCTTCCACGCGCTTGCAACTGTGGATGATGGAGAAACAATTTCATGTTTATGTAAAATCAAACTGAAGTGTTTATCGCATGTGATCATCCGAATGCAAACCTGGAGTAAACTGCGGGGCAGGTTTTCTAATTTTTTAGAGTTTATTGTGTTTAACTTGTTTCGCAGATAAACTTTTCTTAAGAAATTTTGAAATATTTTCTCGGCAAAAAATTTGGCCGTGGTTTTATTTTATTTTTTTATTGCTTAGATGGATGGACGAGCTCACAGCCCACCTGGTGTTAGTGGTTACTGGAGCCCATAGACATCCACAACGTAAATGCGCCATCCACCTTGTGATATAAGTTCTAAGGTCTCAAGTATAATTACAACGACTGCCCCACCCTTCAAACCGAAACGCATTACTGCTTCACGGCAGAAATAGGCAGGGCGGTGGTACCCACCCGCGCGGGCTTACAAGAGGTCCTACCACCAGTAATTACGCAAATTATAATTTTGCGGGTTTGATTTTTATTACACGATGTTATTCCTTCACCATGAAAACCGACCGTGAACATTTGTTAAGTACATATTTCATTAGAAAAATTGGTACCCGCCTGCGGGATTCGAACACCGGTGCATCGCTACATACGAATGCACCGGACGCCTTATCCTTTAGGCCACGACGACTTCAAATTAATAGTAGTTGTCAAGACTCTGAGTTCCAGAACTTACCCGACCGTGTAGATAGCGAGGTTCCTACCCCCGGGCTGACAGCGGTGCCTCGTGCAAGAGTACGCGTCAGCCCACTCTGAATACGCGGCGTGCTTCTGCATTGTCCTCGGGTCCGTGCAGTCTGTGGACATCAAATGCGTTGAAATCATTCAAAATTCGACGGCATCCGCAGCCGGGGACATTTAGCGACACTGCTGATTTCGGGTTTGAATGGATCTTTATTTCAATAAAATACTGATGGCATATTAGGCATTTATTGGACACCTTGGTGGCGGTAGGCGAAGGACTGCCATTGCAGGAGCGTCGCCCGACATCGCACATACACACACTTTATATTGCATAATATCTACAATACAAATCTGAAATGAAATCAGTGTGCTTAGAACGAGTTTTTTAACGCTCTCGGTAACGTAAAAGTTAACTCGATTTTGTATGGAGTTGGAACGTTTGCCAAGGTTTCCCGCTAGGGGCGCTGTTCCAACTGCCTACAAATTTGAGTTAACTTTTACGCTATCGAGAGCGTTAAAAAACTCGCACTAAGCACACTGAACAGGGTGAGACTGTTGTGTGATTGAAATGCAAATACCGGGGCACACATGTAGACATCACAAAACCAAAAAATGTAGTGAACGTCTCTTTATCTAATACGATTGACTAAATCTTCAGACCAGAACACGCGAATGCTACGAAATTGGGTAGGTTTGATTCCATCATCTCGTTTTTACCATCGCGCCGCCCGCCACCGGAGTGGAGTTCATCTATACTACCTGGAGCCACAGCAGTCATCCACAGTGCGTTTCCAGAGGGCTTTTTGCCACGTACGATCTGGCTATGGAATGAACTCCCCTCCACGGTGTTTCCCGAGCGCTATGACATGTCCTTCTTCAAACCAGGCTTGTGGAGAGTGTTAAGCGGTAGGCAGCTGCTTGGCTCTGCCCCTGGCATTGCTAAAGTCCATGGGCGACGGTAACAACTCACCATCAGGTGGGCCGTATACTCCAATGCCTTCAACAGCAATGATAAAAAAGCCACCAGTAACATTTTGGGGGAGGTTTGTAATTTAGGAAAGGATAACACTACTACGGATGAGTTAAGGGGATCCAGTAGTAATAGCTACTACGTCAAAAAAATGTTTTGTCATTGAAAGTCTGACTGTACGGTACGATCGAAAGGGACCAAGCATGAGTGGGCCACTGCACTTATTGTTATAAACAAACTTACACTGATCCTTGAAAGAGTCGTTTGATGGTCCAGCGCTGATGGTGGTGATCAATCCCACCAGTACAAAGGCTAACATTGTCATTGATAGGAGTTGACCAAATGAATGCGGTGTGTGCGACGGTCGCTACAAGGAGTAATCGGATAATTGGTACAGTCAGAAAGAAAAATAAATTTATTTTGAAATTGTTTTTAACTGAAAAATAATTTGATGTATTTCTTGTATAACTGGTGCGATTATCTTCTTTTCAAGATTTATATCATATTATTATTATAAAATAGGACCTCTTATGAGTCCGCGCGGGTAGGTACCACCACCCCGCCTATTTCTGCCGTGAAGCAGTAATGCGTTTCGGTTTGAAGGGCGGGGCAGCCGTTGTAACTATACTGAGACCTTAGAACTTATATCTCAAGGTGGGTGGCGCATTTACGTTGTAGATGTCTATGGGATCCAGTAACCACTTAACACCAGGTGGGCCGTGAGCTCGTCCACCCATCTAAGCAATAAAAATAAATAAATAAAATAAAATTACTCTGTCAAAATTACTCTGCCTTTTACTCTGTTGTAAAATTAAAATGTCAACAACTCACCTAATCTCACGCTCTGATGGGAATACATCGACATCATAACATGAGACGTGGATGTCTCAATTCTCGAGTCAATATTTTACTTGCGTTAAGGCGTATTTTGACCGACGACAGGAGGGTGCCCTCATCTGCTCTACATCTGTCGCGAGGCAGATATGGGTTCCAAGCTAGAAGCGTGGGGCAGGAGTTCTGCAATGCCATTGAAAATTGGAACTCATGTCTTACGACAGAAGTCAGCATTCGGTTTGGAAAAAAAATACCCGTGAATGTTGACAGCGGCACGAGTCGTGTATAGAAAAAAAAAACCTTACCTGAAATTATATTATTAGATTTTTAGTAAAACGTTTTTGTTCACCACTGTACTTGATATCAGAACATAAAGGAAAAAAGTAAATGTTTACAAACTTACACATCCGCTGGCTGTGCCCTCGTTACTTAGTGGTAGCGAATGAGCTTTTAATATCCGATCGCTCGCTCGATACCGGAGACTCAAATATTCCAAACTAGCTGACCCGGCAGACTTCGTAGTGCCTCAATCGATAAATAAAAGACCTAAGATTTTGTATAAAATAAACTTAAAACAAACAAAAGGAATCCGTCCTACGGGAGACACATCAAAGAAAAAACAAAATTGTTATTTTTATTTAATTTCATATCTATCTACCTCCTAAACTTTTTCTGGACTTCCATAAATAATTCAAGACCAAAATTTGCCAAATCGGTCCAGCCTTTTACGAGTTTTAGCGAGACTAACGAACAGCAATTCATTTTTATATATATAGATAGAATAAACATATTTTATGACCTACGTTTTAAAACGAGACCCCACCCATGACAAGTGGATTATAATTAAATTCAAATAGAGCTCGCAGCCCATCTGGTATTGTGACTACCATAGCCCACAGACATCATAACATCAATGCTACCACCCACGTCGAGACTTGAGGTCTTATGTCTCAATAGTAATAATTACCCAAATTATAATTTTTAACAGTTTTGTTTTTATTACACAATGTTATTCCTTCACTGTTGAAGTCATTTTTGTGAAGAACATTTAAACGTATTCCAGAAGAAGCATTGGTATCGGAACACTCGAACCCCGGCGCGGCGTCGCTCAAGCCGCGTACGCCGGCTGACTTATGCCTCAGACCGCGACCACTACGTGCCCCGGATCGATTATAAGTGTAACTTTAATTTATTTAAAAAAGGCGTGGTAGCTTTCTTTTTTTTTATTGCTTAGATGGGTGGACGAGCTCACAGCCCACCTGGTGTTAAGTGGTTACTGGAGCCCATAGACATCCACAACGTAAATACGCCACCCACCTTGAGATATAAGTTCTAAGGTCTCACGTATAGTTACAACGGCTGCCCCACCCTTCAAACCGAAACGCATTATTGCTTCACGGCAGAAATAGGCAGGGTGGTGGTACCTACCCGCACGGACTCACAAGAGGTCCTACCTCCAGTAATTACGCAAATTATAATTTTGCGGGTTTCATTTTTATTACACGATGTTATTCCTTCACCGTGGAAGTCAATCGTGAACATTTGTTGAGTACGTATTTCATTAGAAAAATTGGTACCCGCCTGCGGGATTCGAACACCGGTGCATCGCTACATACGAATGCACCGGACGTCTTATCCGTTAGGCCACGACGACTTCAAAGCTCTTAGCATTTAGCGACTTTAATCTCACCATAAAAATAAGTAGCCCCGGTAAGCAACAAATTAAGGAGCGGACGGTTGGCGTGGTATGGACATGTGATGCGTAGAGAGGAGATGCATGTGACTAGGAGATGTATGGAAACGGTAGTGCAACTAAGTAGTGTAATTTTTTTATTCAACATAAATGAAAGTACATACTTACTTGTTGAACGTCAAAAAGAACTAACGCCAATTCACAAAAACTAGCCTAGAACTGGCAAGAAACTCAGCGGGCATGTCTTTTTTTTTAAATATTACATTATTTTTTTATATTAGATTTTTTTAAATATTCATTGTTACAAGATGTAACTATTATAACGTAACAATTATTGCAATATTGAAATGCCCGGAGAGAGCAATCCCAATTTTTGCAATCTTCTAGATAATCATTGACTTTATAGTAAGCTTTATTGCACAGATGTTCTTTAATAGTTTTCTTAAACCTATGTATATGTAGGTTCTGAACATCTTGTGGGGTTTTGTTGTACAGGCGCACAGACAGACACCTGAATGAATTTCGTATCTTATGTAACCTACTCATCGGCACATCAAGGTTGTGTTTGATCAAAAGCTACCGCCATCTAAAGCATGTCTTGATGGATCCTCCGGATTCACTCTCGGTGCATAAAGACTCCCCAAGCATTGGTTTGTGGCCGCATCTTCTCAGTGGGTCGCGAACCGGTGGTAGATTCAGCGAAGAACTGCTCTTGCTATGGCCAGTTCACCAATTCCGTCAAGTTGAGCCAATGCGCTCACATATCAGTCCCTGAGTTGTTAGAATACCTCCTTAGGCTACCAGTGATTCCTATCAACAAAATGAGGAATTGCTTATGTATTTATAATTACATAAGTAATTAATTAGTAATTGTTCCGGTTTGGCAGCAAAATAAACTGCGTTGGTTTGATTTGTAGCACGAATTTATTGAATAGCAATAAGTCGATATAAGGGAAAGCAGTTCAAAATTAAAGGGTAGAGAAGGGAAAATAATGGAACCATGGAACATACGGTATAAAACACAGAGAGAACCGAATGCCCTCCGTAGACTCAGAGGTTCCAAGCGATCCGTGAGAGCGGGACTATCGACCATCCGAACAGCGTTTCTGTATGGAGTCAAATGGAAGTAGCTGGTATTTGGGAGCCCCGGCCCAGAGGTGAGAGCAGTACGCCACGCGAGGCCAGACCTGAGCTTTATAAAGCGCAAGTCTCTGCCCAGGCGTGAAATACCGCTTCGCTCTGTTGAGGACTCCCAACATTTTAGAGGCCAACTAGCTGTACCCGTCCGCTTCGCTGGCCCTTGTTATAGATACATGTTAACTATTGTATAGAGTATTATGTAAGGGGTACCGTATATAATTAAACAGGTACCAGACTGGTAAAGTAATGTAGTAGGTAGTTGAATGAAGTCCGCGGGCGGTGAGGTGTGAGTGCGGACCGGCTTCGGCTCCCATGAGCTGTCAGTTCCTGAGTCCTTCAAGCCGCAGGGCGAGGTGGCTCCGCGGTAGAGTATCGCGGACTCCTGGCTGAGCCTTTGCTCGCCCACCTGTCCTGGTGAAACTGGAAAGGCCTTCGGGCCACCAGTAATCTCTCAATCATAAAAAAAAAAAAAAAAAAGTATCGCGGAACTAAAAATAATTAAATTTATAGGGTTTTTCTATTCTAAATTCGGTAACACATCTGTAGGGGAGAATCCCTCAAGTGTCTTAGAAGGAAATATGACTCTATGTGGCAGATGCTAAGGTACAGATTCTATTGTAATATGAGTGCACAGTGAAGTAGTACTGTCTTTAAAGAAATTATTATAAATTTTTAATCAAAATTCATGACGACGGACAAATACATACCGTGTAGCGTGTTATTGTGTAGTGGTAAGTGACATGGTCACTACACAAGGGGGTCGCAGGTTCGAATCCCACCAAGGGAAGATATTTGTATGATAAATATAAATGTATTTTCCAGGGTTATGGATGTATATTAAATATATGTATGTGTATAATAAAAATCTTACATTTATATCCGTTATCTGGTACCTGTAACACAAGTTCTTTACGAACTTAGCACGGGACCAGTTAACGTGGCGTGATTGTTAGTAAATATTTATTATTATTTTATTATTTTATAATTATGGTTAGTACCATATGGAATGTTTCACGGTTCACAACTTTCATTTTGAAACGTCTCAGCAGTTATAGTTCCCGCTTAATACTAGGTGGGCCCTGAACTAGTATACCATCTGGTCGTAAGTGGTTATCGAAGGTCTATGGTCATCACTACGTCAATGCGTCCAAACACGACATGAGACACTTACCCTTTAATTTTTATTGCTTAGATGTGTGGACGATCTCACAGCCCACCTGGTGTTAAGTGGTTACCGGAGTCCATAAACATCTACAACGTAAATGCCGCCACCCATCTTGAGACATCAGAGTTCTAAGGTCTCAGATTTTACAGTACAACGGCTGCTCCACCCTTCAAACCGAAACGCATTACTGCTTCACGGCAGAAATAAGCAGGGTGGTGGTACCCACCCGCGCGGACTCACAAGAGGTCCTACCACCAGAAATTACGCAAATTATAATTATACGGGTGTAATTTTTATTAAACGAAGTTATTCCTTCACCGTGGAAGTCAATCGTGAACATTTGTTAAGTACGTATATATTTCATTGGAAAAATTGGTACCCGCCTGCGGGATTCGAACACCGTTGCATCGCTACATACGAATGCACCCGACGTCTTATCCTTTAGGCCACGACGACTTAAAAGTTTCATTTTGAATAAAACCTTTCAAACCGAAACGTATTACCGCTTCGCTGCAAAAATAAGTGGTGATACCTATTCCGGACTTGCAGAACGCCTTACAAGCAGTAATTACCCATATTATAAGTTTTGGGAATTTCGCGACACGACTTCAATAAAAATAAAACATTATCTCTATATATAAAAATGAATTGCTGTTCGTTAGTCTCGCTAAAACTCGAGAACGGCTGAATCGATTTGGCTAATTTTGGTCTTGAATTATTTGTGGAAGTCCAGAGAAGGTTTAAAAGGTAGATAATTAAGAAAATGCTCGGAACTAAATAAAAATAACAATTTTGTTTTCCCTTTGATGTGTCCCCCCGTCGGACGGATTCCTTTTGTTTGTTCTAAGTTTATTTTATACAAAAGCTTAGGTCTTTTATTTATCGATTGAGGCACTACAAAGTCTGTCGAGTCAGCTAGTTTTGAATAAAAGAGATGTAAGCGGTCACTAGAATTATTTGTGTTTGAGGTGCGACTCCGTGCGCGATTACATTTATTGTAATAACAATTAATAGTAATTAATTCAGGTCAGGAACGAAACCGTGCTTCAGCGCGTTCATATGTCCCGGAAAATGCTGCCTGCTATCAAAAAGCGCAAGATAGAGTATCTCGGCCACGTGCTCAGGAACGATCGATACATGCTGCTGCAGCTGATAATTATGGGCAAAGTGGACGGAAAGAGACGTGCTGGGCGAAGGAAAAAGTCATGGCTCCGGAATATCCGGGAGTGGACCGNTCTCGGCCACGTGCTCAGGAACGATCGATACATGCTGCTGCAGCTGATAATTATGGGCAAAGTGGACGGAAAGAGACGTGCTGGGCGAAGGAAAAAGTCATGGCTCCGGAATATCCGGGAGTGGACCGGTATTGCCTCCGTCGAACAGCTGTTCCGGCTGGCTGCTGACAGAAAGGAATACAGGAAGCTAACGGCCAACATTCAGGATTGAAGAGGCACTGCAAAAAAAAACAAAACAAAAGTAATGAATTAATATCAACGTTCTTCAAATCGGAGCTTTACTAATCGGTTTATTTTCGCCATTTCAAGATTAAAAGACCCATAATCGTTTCTAAAAATGTATAAACAAACTATTGTAAAAGTTTAAAACTTAATAACATACAACATTACTAAAATTCATAATACAGCCAAACCTCTTACAATAATTAGAGTTGTTATATTTGAATGCACAGTACTACTGAGACGTTTCCCGCGCGCTAACGAATTAAAATATTTTTATCCTTAACTTTGAAAGCTGATTTCGAAGTTTTGTTATATTAGTGCTTCAGACATGGCGGTGTGCGCGCGACTCCTCGTACTGTCCCTGTGGGGGCTTGGGGTGAGTACATTATTATTGAAAGAAAGAAAGAAAGAAAGAAAGAAAATCTTTATTCGCCAGAAATATAGTTTACTTTATAAATATAGTTAGATATAGGACATAGTTTCATATATTTCGCCTGTTTAGGCATGCGAAAATTTAATTTATTCTTATATTAATTATAACACAAAATTTACTAAATCTATCTATTTTTACATTCTATCACTTCTTATTCTAATATTTTATTATGTACAACACTTATCATTTAAAAATTCTTGCACACTATAATAAGCCTTGTCTATTAGCCATAAATATAATTTTCTTTTAAATTGAGTTAGTGGAAGATCTCTTATGCTGTTTGGTATCTTATTAAATATTCTGATAGTCATAGGATAACAGTTTGTATGGTAGTAACGAGTATTTATACTTGGTAACATTAGTTTAGTAGGGTATCTTGTATTAAATTGACAGTACTCGCCACACGATTTTGATTCTTTACTAGCCTAGAGATATCTGATGCTGGGCAACTACGCCGTTAAAAATGCTCCTTAATTATTGTTTATTTTGTTTTTATTGTTACGTATATTCGTACGATGAACAGGTTTGTTGGTTCTTTGTTTATTGCATACAAGCGGCCCGCTCCGGCTCCGCTCGGGTCTTTAACAAAAATTTCAACGATATTTGACGTTGTTTCATTTTTTTAAATAAAAGAACACTTATTGCGGCATAACTATAAATGTTAGACATATGCTGTCCCGACACTTTCTGTAAATTATAATGTATTCTACAAAGTCGTATTACATTATTTTATTCTACCATCAATAGTTTTCGCAGGGCACGTAATGTAAAGAATATTTTAAGTAATTTTTTTACACGTTGGGTTACATTATTGGAGTTTAAGTAAGGATCCGTAATTTTTTTCAAAAAAGATTATAGCCTATGTCACTCGGGAATAGTGTAGCTTCCAAACAGTGAAAGCATTTTTCAAATCGGTTCAGTAGTTTCGGAGCCTTTTCAATACAAACAAACAAACAAATCTTTCCTCTTTATAATATTAAGTATAAAAGTATAGATATTTAAAAATATAGAAGCGTAGATATCAGTATCAGGTTCCCACGATACGTCCTATTTAGGGGACAGGCGACAGTGCGGTTCGGCCCTGTAATATTTTTATTATTTCACAAGATCATTACTTCAATCGAGACTTTCAACTGAGTGAATGTCGGTTTTTGTGCTGTGGTGTTCATTTTTTTTAATCCTACCTAAGCCTTCAGAGGCTATATTAGCGTAACCCTAACGTGTAGGTGAGCTCTCGGGGCTCAAACCAGGAGGCGTTGCTAACACTGGCCCTAGTAAGAGCCGTGCTTCGCAGAATCTATCACCAGATCGGAAACGCGACCCACTGAGAAGATCTGGCGAGAAAACTCAGTGGGCTGAGTGTTTAGGCTTCGATGTTGTCTATGGTACACATAACTGCACTGTATATCTGCAGAGGAATACCCAATCCAGCAATCAAGTGATCAACTCCCAGCCCATCCGTAAAAACCAATTTCTCCTACCTTAACATATTTCATTGAAGTCTCAATGGCTTGGAGCGGAGCTAATGCTACTCGTCAAGCCGGATGCATGAACGATTTGAAGAGTCAGACAACATGTTGATAGTGGTGTTTTTTTTATTCAGTGACACTGTTCTATTCCCTGAAGTTTATTATAACAATTCTTCTTTGCAATTTTTAAATGTGTCTAATTAAATTTCTAACACACATTTATTACTTTGGTATTGTTATATTATGTAACGGAAACTTCGAGCATCATTGTCAATGATTTTAAGACTTCGGATTAAACTGAATATTTGCTCACGCATCAAGGACCGATCGCGATACACCGGTAGGCAGAGGTCTAGCTCACTATCACGTAACCACTCACTATCAGATGGGCCCTATGCTCGTCTGTCTACAAGGCCAATAAAAAAATTACCATAAATATCGCTCTAATATCCTGACCAGTTTTAAAAAAAAGACTCGTTAATATGTCAATTAAATAAATTAAACAAGTATTTTTAAGGTTGTAAGTACTTTTATATTAAACTAGCGACCCGCCCTCGCTTCGCTTCGGAAACATTAAAACACATGAAACCAAAAAAAAAATTAAAAAAGTAGCCTATGTTCATCAGGGACAATGTCGGCTTCTAATGGAAAAAGAATTTTTCAAATCGGTCCAGTAGTTTCGGAGCCTATTCGAAACAAACAAACAAACAAATCTTTCCTCTTTATAATATTAGTATAGACAATGTGTTGTTTGGATCTGCAATTGGGTATTACATCAGCGATGTGTTTTAAATGTATATACACTGATGCTCTTAACTAATAAGCACATGATTCCGATAGAGGCACCCGTCACGTGCGGACGTGCTCATCGTCCACTCGATCGCCCGGTCTTTGTTCGCCCGGCTTTTGTTAGCCCGGCCATTGTTCGCGCGGCCTGTGTTTGTGGTACATCTGCCGACTAAGTGCTCTTTCTGGAAGTTTTTATTTGTTTTGTTTCCTTTTGTTGTTTCTGTGTTCGTGGTACATCTGCCGACAAAGTGGTTTCCTGCAAGTATTTATTTGTTTTGTTTCTTTTCGTAATTTCTGTTTTGTTGTGCTTTTTCTTTGTCCTGTAGTAATCGCGCCGCATTGCCACCTGTGTTCAATAGAACCGCTCAGGTCCGAGAAGTTGGGGCCTCGCCGCAAGGCGAGTGTTTTCAAGACCCGGGGCCGCCCCACCTGGGTACTCAGCGATCATGGACGCTGTATTCGCGGAATTCCTCCGACTTCGCCACCCACAGCTCGCCTCGGAGTTTTTGGCCTTCAAGGCCAATCACACTGCGAGCCCTCTCGAGGACTCCGCCGCGCTCGCTGCTCCTGCGTCGCCTGTACCTGCGTGCAGAGCTTCTGCATTGAGCACCGCAGCCTCTGTCGTGCCTGCCGCTCCCGTGTCGCCTATACTGGCGAGAAAAGCTGCTGCGTCGTCCGCCGTGACCATCGTTTCAGCTGAGCGATCATCCGCGGCCTCCGTCGCGCCCTCTAAAACACCTACACTTGCTCGTAGGTCNCACGTCCTTACGGATCCATCAGATCCAATAACCTTTGCATTAGATGCCTTCAGCTCTAATACTAGGGGCAGGCTTAGGGACCCCGGTAACCGTACTCGTCGAACTCGACAAAGAGGTCGACGTGCAACCTAACCCATGCATCAGCCCGCTGAGTTTCTCGCCGGATCTTCTCAGCGGGTCGCGATTCCGATCCGGTAGTAGATTCATTCGCGAAACAATTGCTCTTGAGTTGTTAGGTCTCCTTCGGAGGCGCTCGGGCAGTTGTTAGCAAATCCCACCCCTCTTGGCTGAGCCTTTGCTCGCCCACCTGTCCTGGTGAAACTGGAAAGGCCTTCGGGCCACCAGTAAACTTTCAATCATAAAAAAAAAAAACTAATAAGCAGCTCTTGTTTATGTTGTGTCGTCGATGGTGGCGGATGACGTTTGTCGTTACATAAAATGCTTGGCTCGGATGACTAGATTCTAAAAAACAACCTTTTTTTTTCCTACCTAAGCTGATAGCCTTGAGAGGCTATTTCAGCGTAACCGTGGCTAGTAGGTGAGCTCACGGGGCTCAAACCTGACGACGATGCTAACACGAACCCTAGCAAGAGCCGTGCTTCGCAGAATCTACCACCGGATCGGAAACGCGACCCACTGAGAAGATCCGGCGAGAAACTCAGTGGGATGTGTCTGAGAGTTAATTTACTCGTCGAGCCCTTCGTCGCAAGCGACGGGTTCGACGAGAACGGTGACCGGTGCTTGAAGTACCTAAAAGCACCATTAGTGGATCGGGAGGATCCGAGATGACGTGTTTTGGGCGACGTCGACTGCTTTCCATTCTGTCCGCAGGATCGGGAATGTAGTTACCGGCGGCCACGATGAGAGGGTTCTCGTGTCGTGCCGCTTTATCGAAGTGGAAAAACGACCCGTGTGACCACCCGGTGATATTTTATATGCAGTCATTACCAATGTGATTAAGCAAGAACGCGTTTTATTAACTGTGATCACTGAGCGAACAGTGATAACACTAAAATAGTGAATAATCAGTAAACTGGTTTGTTACTGGTGGTAGGACCTCTTGTGAGTTCGCACGGGTAGGTACCACCGCCCCGCCTATTTCTGCCGTGAAGCAGTAATGCGTTTCGGTTTGAAGGGTGGAATAGCCGTTGTGACTATACTGAGACCTTAGAACTATATCTCAAGGTGTGTGGCGCATTTACGTTGTAGATGTCTATGGGCTCCAGTAACCACTTAACACCAGGTGGGCTGTGAGCTCGTCCACACATCAAAGCAATAAATAAAAAAAACTCAATACTTTTTTTAAATAACATCACGAATACGATTTTATTTTATCTTTATTATTGGTTTTACTAACCAGTAGTGACCTGAGCGCTATCGTTGCTTACCCTGAGGTTAACTTTAACGGTTTGGTGAACTCATCCTTGTAATCTTAAAGGCCAATGCCGGTATTAACATGAACCTTCGAAATTTATAGTTTCCTAACTTAACCGCGGATAGTCTTGAGGGAATTTTTCGGCTTCACCGCACGGTTAGGCGATCTGGTCCACTGAGAAACTCCAATGGCTTTACCCGTAGGTTAAGTAAGTAGCATTTTTCGGCGAAAACAATGCCCGGTGCTTGGAGAGTCTAACAGCACAGAGAGTGGATCAGGAGGATCCGCCATGACGTGCTTAGGTTTATGGCGGCTGTGTATTTCCCGGTCGTCTGGGTCGGACGAGGAGTATGTAGTTGGCGGCGATCGCGATAAGAAGGTTATCGGGTGGCACCGCTTTTTCGAAGAATAAAAATTGAATGTTGTCTACGTCGGCGCGCGGGGCTCTAGCTAATGTCTTGAACTACCTATCCGCTAGGGGATAGATTATTCTGGCTTATTACTTTAGCGAGATCTGTTTTCATAGTTTAATTTCCGGACTATGGACATATA